TGTTTAAGTGGATTTGACTTTTCATTCTTTGTTTAAGGTAAATTTGAACAAAGTTGTTATTTCTGAGTTTGATGTCTACTCTCAAATGTGACTAATAAGGTAAATTTGAACAAAGTTGTTATTTCTGAGTTTGATGTCTACTCTCAAATGTGACTAGTATATGATGGGAATTCAGGAGAGACTGAACATCCAGTGAGTTAAACTGTTAGGCTAAGATATCAACTTATAGCCATGTACTTGCAGTGATTAGATAAGAAGGAGACATTCCCCGAGCCAGCATAAGTGACAGAGCAAACACATATACTGAAATGAAAATATCACTTAATCTCTGAGGAATGGTAGGGGGTTGTAGAAAGAAGTCAGCTGTGAGGACATTGTACCTTGACTTAGGTATTACTGCTAAGGTACTTTGAAAATATTTGCTTAGTCAGTAAATGGTAGGATAATCAATTAGTGGCAGTAGAAACTCCATGGCTCACTCTGACTAGACATAGCAAACCAACCATAACTTCGGGGCTTTTGAATTCCTTTTTGAAAAATTCAATTTTATTTTGAGACAGGGTTTTGCCCAGTTGCTAAGGCTGGCCTCCAACTTTCGATTCTTGTCCACAGTCTCCAGAGTAGCTAGAATCACAGGTGTGTGCCATTATGCGTGGCTTTCTTTGGAAATTCCTTAATGCTACATACTAGGCATTACTTATCAACAACAGAGAAAACCTAGCCAGCCTCCTGATATTGGTATTCTTTGTTTGTGTAAGGAACTTTTTAAAATTAAGGTTCTGACCAAGTTCCTCTATATGACATTGTAAGGAAGCTTTATTCATCCTTAGAATCTCTCTCTCTCTCTCTCTCTCTCATCTTCTTGAGCCTCTTCCTCTTTGCATTCCCAATCACCACTCCCACCTTGAATATTTATCTTTATGAGTGGTTTGACATAAGACATACTTAGGAGGCATTTTAAAGATGATCCTGTATGTCTGTGGGCAGAGGATTAAGTGGATCATGTCCTTACTCCCCAGTATCCTTAGACTCTATATTGCTTTTACTTGCCTAGAGGTATATGTGCTGCAGTGAAATTTTTCTCCTTGAGAAAAGACTGAGGCTCCATCCATTAAATGACCCTCACCCTGCCAGGAACTGTCTTTTATGACATGGGATTCAGTCAATCTCCTAGACTTTGAGATGATTTACTGAGAGTGCTGACTCTTCCTGGAAAATATACCCATCTCTTGCTCATGATTCTGTTCTCCAGACTCACAAGACTCAAGCTTTTAGAAGACAGACTTCCTTGATTGTAGGAAGAAATACAACATATGAATACACCCAGTGGCTTATCTCTTTGCACAATTATTAATGGGTGTTTCAGAAGATATCGATTAATATCCTTCTTCCATATGGGAGAAATGAAGTACAAATTCATCAACTCAAATTCCCGTAGACTTTTCACTAAATAAATCCTGAATACCATTTAACCCCTCTCTATTCACTTAATTTGCCTTGATTTTATAGAAATACACAGTACTATAAATTTACCCCAGGAGTAAATTTATGTGCTTAGTGAGCCCAGAAAAATAAATAACAAAAAATTAGTTAATAGGAAAAATTTGAAAATTTAATTTCTGCAACATTAGAAGGAACTTAGAAATTAAAGGGCTAAAGATCAGATTCTTTTAATATATTTTTTGGATAAATTTGTGTTACAGGTATATTATTGTACAACACAAGTTTAGATTCATTGGCAATTAGAAAAAAGGTAAAAACAACAACAAAAACAAACCTAATAACTGATTAAACCTGAATGTACTAAGTGATAGTGAATACCAACTGACTATTTTTTTTAAAACTTGGACATTTCTTACTTTTTTAAATCCATCTGGTGAGAATTTGAACTTTACTAGAGAGAGAGTGTGACCAGAGGCACAGAATCTAGAGTGATTCACATCAAGAAAATAAGTGTCAGAAGTAATGGCTATGTCTCAAACTACAGGTAGTCTGAGAAGAAAGTGCTGTGAGTAGGTCATTTAGCAAACATTTACGTGCTTGATTTAATTTTAGTTTTTTTCCCAAGGCTGAGAATCAAACCCAGGGCCCTGCCCCTACTAGGCAAGTGCTCTCCCACCAAGCCACATCCCAGCCCAAGGTGTTTGCTTTGAATCACTCCCTCAGGATACAGTGGACACAGGACAGGAATGGCCCCAGGGCTCAGGGACACTTATAATCTGCTACAGGAAAATCTCAGCAGGGAAAAAATGAATGTATGTGAGTGCTCAAAATATAAGAAAAACTAGGTGAAATTCTTGGTTCATCTTTTTTTTTATGTGTTCTCTTTCATTAACCTAAGAAATTCATTCCTAGGAACCAGGCCACCCAGTTTGGTTGGAGTGCACACTTGCGTCATACTCCTCCGAGTGGGACGCCACCTACACAGCCCTTGTAAGACTTGGACTTCTGCTGTAGCCTCTGCAATCTTCATCATGGCTCAGAATAGTCCAGATGCTCATCTGGGTATCCAAGCTTCTAAACTTCCCAGAGAAGCATATTCTGCTCCTTAGAATCTGCCTGTACACCAAGAAACTTGTGTGCCAGGCAGACCTCCCCAGTGAACCAATGGCTTCTGTTTACCAGGGACTTTCTGGGTTTTAGTTCTGAAAGTCTCACATGCCAGGAGACCCCTCTTTACAAGTCAACCTGGATGGATGGTCACTTTCCACCTATGCTTACGTTGCTTTCACTTAACCTAGATAGCATAGGCTGATGGATGAGCTACAGTAAAACCTCCCCCTTCTTCTCATTTCTTGAGACAATACTATATTTTATATGTTCTTACTTTACTTCTTAATTCACTTCCAGAACTATGGTTTTCTTTTCTTCTTATTCCCAGTTTCCACATTTAAATCCTTCCAGTGGCTTACATAGCCTCTAAAGAAGCATTCCTTTGAAAACCCCAAAGTAAGAAATAGGAAGGTGTCACCATACCATCTCTCGACATTCCTAGGGCAAGACACTTCTGCAGTCGGCAGTGTTGGCAACGGTTTCTGTTGGTTCTGTCAATTAAACAGTTTCTCTGCCTTGGGCAGGAGTAAGAGGCATTGTTCTGCTGGCTCCTCCTGAAGAATCCCTAGAGGAAAAAAAAAAGGGAAGGGAAGCAGGTTTAGAAAGAAGGGAAACATTAACTTATACACTTGCTACAGTTTCTACACTGAACATAACTGAGCATATTTTTTTAAAAA